GCGGGAAAAAGAGAGTCTAGCTCACGCGTTCTTGACCTATAACTGCATATAAGTTTGACTACTTTGTAAATCGGTGAGTGGAACAAAACTTTGACAACAAAGTTGATTTAAACTGGTTGATCCTGTCGTTCACAACGATTGTGTTAGCTAAGAAAAGGTAAATGGCCTTGATAAAGTAATTGGACTCCACAAAGGGAAATGACAATATAGGCCGCTGCATATAGCTTCCACGACTTGCCTTGTCAAGTCGTGGGCTACGATGGATAACGGCGGCTGCTGTTTTTCTTTATTTTGTTCGTTTATTTTTCGAATAAGCCCCAGCATACATTTTCATTGAAACAAACAGAATCTAAAAGAAAAACTTACAGCTTTAGCTCAGCTCTATGCTCTATACTCTTATAGAGCACGCTCTTTTTTAGCCAACGACAGCGCGCGTTATATCCAAACTTTATTATAAATGCCGTCAATGCAGTCCTAAGAGGTAATGTCCTCATAAAATGGCCAAATGCAACTAACTGTATGATGAAAAATGTTCTCGCTAGCGCAGATCAATATTACGTTTATAATTGAAAATCATTTCGAACTCTTCCCTTTTGCTGATATTTACTGCTTCATGGCACTCACGAGTTCGTCTGCTTAGTTGTTCAACTCAAATCTTTAGAGCAACCATATCCATCTTAGTTGATTACTTACGATGTTATATAAAGAAACAAAAGAAAGAACGGGATTTTCTAGCAGGAAGCAGTTCAGTTAATCACAAACAGATCGCAGGACAAAGCTGGCTCAAAGCCTAAAAGGCCACGCACTGTTTTAGAAGACTTGATGTGGTAAGCCGAAGATAACTTACATTCACCGCCTGAAAAGTTGTTTAACAACTGCCTTTGCACTCTGATGACGAATGTTGGAAGTTATACGAAGAAAATTAGTCCTGCTTGTTATCTATATTCACTCTTTTCTGAAAACGTATGTTTGATATATTTCTCAGGCCGACAGGATTTCGCTAATGAACCATTCAATTGGTTCAGATATATCACAATTCGTAAGGACAAGAGCTTTCTCTGTAAACAAATGTGAGTTTGTTTTGATCACACCCTAACCTTTTCAAGATCACAGCAATTCTGTTAATGACCTATCAGATATATTTCGGGGAAAAGTCCCTCGTGCACATATTTTTTACAAAACTGTTTTTGCTTTCTCATTGACTTATTCCAGCTGCTTTTTCAAAGGAATTTACCCCTAAAATTGGACCTTTTTGTGTATATCCAAGAAGTTACGTTATATCACAATAGAATATGATTTCCTTTATATCATTCATTTATGGGTCATTTCTTTACTAAGACTCTCAAACACTGTTTGAGAATTTCTTAATTGTATATGTCCTGGTTATCAATTAGCATTTTTTTAAGAGAAAATGTCACTGAAGGAATAAGCACTGGTACAATTCAATTATTCCTATGAACGTATGCTTAATCAAATTGAAGTATAAGAATCACCTGGAATGTACATCAGAGTAAAAGACTAATTGAGGAACATATTGCACTCAGTTTTTAAGTTAGGTTGAATAATCAGTGATTGTGTGCTTCTAAAATTCTAGATGTCATTTACACCTTCCGTTCCTCGAAAAACAGGAAGAAAAATCATCGTTACAGCTCAGTGATATCGAAGGATAAGTGCTTGGTTCATACCAGGAGGCAGAACAAAATTCAATCGCCAAACAGATTTTGATTCTTATGATGATTAAACCAATATTCCATTTTACGGGAAAAGCATAGTAGATACAAAATGAAGTGAGCAATGTTATTTCCTCCGCCGATTTCGAATTTACTGATTCAAGGTCCTTCACTCAAACGGATCGCAATAGAGGCTATCACTTAACAACGAAACACTCTTTCAACTTTCCAGTTTACCATCGCTTTTGTTACTTCATTTGTGGTCGATAAAAGCTGGCAACAGCTCAAAAATTTAACGTTAGAATGATAAAACAACGTTTATGAAAACCTGGTGTTTCATGAGGTTGATGAGACCGATCAGCCGCTTGAAGAGATATCGCTACATTGATTGATCACTCCAGTGCATTCAAGTAAGTTTCATTAAAGTTTCCACGCTCGAGCCAATAAGATTTATCTTTTGACACAGACAAGCTTCACTGATTAGTTCACTTTTTATAATTCTCTTTTACTGGAAAGAGGATATTTTTCTTTTGTAAACATTAACTTCCTGTCATGCAAACAGCCAGTCACGGGTCTTCAGACCTCTTGCACCTGGATGTCCAAAGTCCCAATGCTGCAATTGTCATTGCCACATCTCACAACCACTTGTTTTTAAAAGTAAGGGATGAAAATTCTCCTCTGGGAAAAAGTACAATGCTACTCTGACAAACCTGTTTTTCTGCGGAAGTTTTCCAAATCAGCCCTCAGAATCACAGTGTAAGCACTTGGTATTCATGACATTCCTGCTTTACTGATTGGTTTATATTTTTATAATTCTCTTTTAGGGGAAACAGGAACTTTTCTTTTCGTAAAACATTAGATCAGGTGTCTTTCAGGGAAAAATCCCTTGAAAACGTAATGTTTTCTAACCGATTTTAGTTGGATCACCCCCACAGAAATTTGGGCGGAAAATCACCAAACTATCGTAAAATTCGCATTTGGTTCACGCTTTTAACTCCGTCAACAGAAAAAGTCTAGCATGTAATATTTCATAAACGAGGGCAAGTGTTTCATCAGGGTTTCCAAACACGAGAAAACTGATGATTTCAGTGTGGATGCCCTTGATACCCGTTAAAGAAGAGATCCAAACACTCGTGATTAGAAAGCACGAGAAAGTATTTGTCTGTCAAGGCAAAAAAGAGAAAAGAAACTCTGAAAATAACTCGGCAGTAAAACCACTCGGTTGCGCCTCGTGCTTTCTCTTTCGTTTTAAACAATGTAGACGTCATTTCTATGATCAAAAAGGTTAGAGACAATGGAAAATTGTGTTAGATTTTTTGAGTAACATTAGTTCGCTCTTAAAGTACAATTAACACGAAATCATAACTGGTGTGAGCTTCTTGGTTGCATTTCACAGATAAATCCAAAAAACATGATGTGTTTCGGTGTTGAGGCGAATAAGTGGAAGTCTCCCATGAAGTATTTCTATATTGAGGCCATCAGTCTACGAAGATCAAGAGTTACAAAATCATTTCCCGAACCTCCCGACTACTGTCTCACATAACTAACGGAAACAAACTGATGGCCCTCTAAAAGGAAGTAGCTCTTAATGATGAACAGACCGCAAGAAATGTTTTAAAGGTGAAAAATTGTACCTAATTTAAAAAAATGTATGCGGTAGAATAGCCCTGAATATAACGTAGCTTTGCAAACTGAAATAATGTTTGACCACTTACTTTTCGCGTACTGACCGCAAACGTCGGAGGTTTCACTGTGCTCTATCAATCACTGCTTCAGCCATTTCAAAATCAAACAAATTTAACCTTACAATGAAGAAACGTATTGCAAACTTCGTGATAGATCAGGCTATGCTCAACTCAACTTCTTTAAACGAACTCGCAAGTTGCTGAAGGAGAGCCCGCTCCTTCGATACAAAGTGCAGTCAACTTATAGATCTGTAGAGACAAGAGCGTCTCACAAACAAATCCTTTGATTGATTCACAAAGTATAGAATCCCGGTTGCACCTAGTGGTTTCACTTTAGTCGTGAAAACTGTTGTAATGGTGCGGACGCTGACATAAATCAAATCAAACTTGAACAACGCCGCGTCGGGGAAATGTCTTATATTAACAGAACCTCCAAGTGTCTTTCAATCTCAACTGGTTTATTGATCTCTGGAAAGTTCGTTAAAACATAAATACAATAAATTGAAATAGGCCATTACCATACAATAAACGCTAATCGAAATGTCCTAAACTCGAACACGCAAAATTTCGCCGCAATTATTTTGCGTAAGTTTCCTGAATATTTACAAAGCTACATCGTTGTCTCCAAGCGAAAAAGCCCGCAGCATCATTATTTTTCTTAATATTGCTAATTTTTCTAAGCGTGGTAAATACTTCCACACGGGTGTCGTACATTGGTGAAGTTTTTACGTTTTCGCCTCTGACAACAAATTATTAGTGAACTGGATCCGGAACTTCAATCATGTTTATTCTGGCGGCGTCGCTTGTCCTTTTTTGGAACGGTCACAAGCGGAAAGTCCTTACACTGACCCTAGGAACCAAACTGGATCCAAACATTATACATAATTAATGGAAATGAAATAAATGAAACCGTTACTTAAAAGAAGAGACGTTACTGACTGGGAGAGATGATCTGCCAATAGCATGAATCCATGTACGTCGTTAACTGTTGTCTTTTGGGAATTGTTGCACGCCGATGAACGGAAGACACACATCAAAATGGAGGACAACACGAACCTCTTCTGTTTATTTTCCCACGATTTCTATTCTTTACAGATTTGTTCCTGAGGGGGTGCGCATCACGTTCCTACATGTCCTAGTCTAAACTTTATCAGCCCTACAGAAGCTTGGAATCCCGCTAGGTTTTGGCCTGATTTATGCACTCGAAAGCTACGCAATGAGGCATTTTTGAGGAAAAACCCCAAATACGAAATAACGAAACCAAAAAGCCTCGCGCACCTAATAAGAAGGCGGGAAGTTCGCACTCCGGAAAGAGGTTTTTGCGCTCGGTTCTGAAGGTCGAAAAAATATTAGCAAGGTAAGAAGAACAATTTTAAGTACCAAATATCTTGTGTTTGATACATCTAGAGTGTTTTAAGCAATATTTGCTTTAAGACTGGAGGTTCCCTCTAAGTTCATGCAGATCGGTCCGACACAACAATTCAAACATGCTGAACCTACTTCAAGGTTTTACACATGCAAGAAAAACGTTCGTTCTATGTAATCCATAAAGTGGAAAAAAAATTAGTGCATTTCAAAATTGTTAAGAACTGTTTCATTTAACTTCTCGAGTGAGTTTGAACTGTTCCAATAATTCAAGTTCCAATTACTGTATAAAAGCATCCTCGATCTCCTCGGCCTTTTCCCTCAGATCTTTCGCCGCATCAGATCCTTTGTTTCGAACAAGTTCCTTGATCGTGAAGACCAGCTCTTTGGTATCCATCAATAAAAGGCCGGTGTCCATAACAGCAATTAGTTTCTGGAAATTTCCAGCTGTTTTTAAACCTGCTTCAGCCACGTCATCAGCAACTTGTGCTCCGTTCTTTGCCACTCCCTGTGTTGAGGCTTTTGCCCCGGCTTGAATTGCATCATCAGCAAATTTTGCTCCATTCTTTGCCACTTCCTGTGTTGAGGCTTTTGCCACGGCTTGGATTGCATCATCAGCAAATTGTGCTCCATTCTTTGCCATTTCCTGTGTGGACGTTTTTGCCCCGGCTTGGACTACATCATCAGCAAATTGTGCTCCATTCTTTACCATATTCTGTGTGGAGGCTTTTGCGTTGTTTTGGATTGCATCATAAAGAGATTGCCATTTTCCATTTGCCATTTTCTGTGTGGAGGCTTGGATTGCATCATCAGCAAATTGTGCTCCATACTTTGCTGTTTCCTGTGTGGAGGTTTTTGCGCCGGCTTGGACTACATCATCAGCAAATTGTGCTCCTTTCTTTACCACTTCCTGTGCTGAGGTTTCTGCACTGACCAGGACTGCATCATCAGAAACTTGTGCTCCATTCTTCGCCAAATTCTCTATTGTGGTTTTTTCGCTAGCTTGGACTGCATCATCAGCAACTTGTGCTCCATTCTTTGCCAAATTCTCTATTATGGTTTTTGAGCTGGCCTGGACTGCATCATCAGCAACTTGTGCTCCATTCTTTGCTGCTCCTTCCGCAACGCCTTGAAATGGGGCTTTCGCACCAGAATTCCATACCCATTTTTCGATAAGAGTTGCCATATTTTTCACCATGGGGGGGATTTCCTTGGAGTCAAAAATGCACTCACGAAGAAACATTAAAACCTGAGGTGTAGCCACCTTATGGGCTATAGCCTGGCCGTAAATGTACGTTATCCGGAAATACTTTTTTCTGGCTATCCAAAGATGGATTTCTTTCCTCACGGCGATGAAGTTGTCTCTGGTCTCCTTCAAGAGCTTCTCGGCCACCTTGTTATCCTCTGAGTGTTTGGTATAGTCTATGGAACTGGCGATATAGCTAATTAAGAATCCAGCAATTCCAAAACCCTTAGCATATATACTTTCATTCGTCAATGTTAGAACTCCTCCTACCACACACACAAAGGTTCCAGTGGCATAACTCATCTTGTACTCCCACCACGCTTCATCAAGTCTGTCAGCTATTGATCGGAGTCTCTTAACGGTTTTTTTCGCATTAGAATTCATCTCTCCCATTTTCTGTTGAAACTTATTCCAATCTTCACTATACTGCAGTTTCTCATCGTCAGAGGGATTAAATGTTGCTTCGAGGATGTCGTCAATCACTCTTGTTTTTTCTTTCTACAAAACAGGAAGTCAAGATTTTAAGTGATTCACAGTCGCTCCGAGTGATGGACAAAAAGTAAGAAAATATTAAATACAAGGGCATTTTCTATAGCTCTCCTCCTCGTTGGTGTGTGGAAAACATAATATTTGGGATGTGTCCATCAAATTTTACCTGTTACGTGTGTTTGACTTGCAAAATGACACACCTGGCCAAAAGCGTGAAGTCAGACAGACATTTTTAGCACCCGGCTACCTAAAGGTGTTCACCTTAAAGAAGGACTGAGTTTGATTATTTTTTCCGTCGATCTAATTGCCCGTTTGGATAACTTTAATTTTGGTTTGACAACACTTAATCTACCAGTAGCCTCTCTTGTAGACACTCTTTAGGGGGGAGCGTCGCATTACAACCAAAAAAGGCTGCGTAGAAGACTAATCCAACAGTTCTCCCTTTCACGAGTGTTGATGACTCAAAATATATTTTAAGGAGAGGAGGGGGGAGGGGGGGTTCCCATGTGAGGAAGATGAGAATGCTGCCTTGAAATTTCTTTTTTGTAACTCAGGAAGAAACAGTTAATTTCCTGGCAACCATAATTCACCAATTTTCTTTAATGCAGTATCTATGGGTTCAGCAAGGTAGCCTGAGTCAAGCTCACATTGGCTACGTCCTGCGGGTGAAGTTTTCATTATCCTCTCCCTTGTCGTTAAGGAGCTCCCCCCCTCCTTGTCGTTAAAGAGCTCCCCTCCCTTATACAAGCACAGCATATCTTTTTATTTACCTTGTCCATGTTTGAGAAGCTCTGGCTATTAATATCAATCGTATCAGTTGGTGTAATGCATATGGTGTAAATGACCAGTCCAATAAAAATCCATGGCATGTGGTTCCCTTTGACCGCAAAGGAACGGGAGCAGCAGTCGCTGTATCTTTTGAGAAGATAATTTTCAGCGTTATTTTTCATGTAATACATATTGATTTTCCCCAATGAATAATTTATCTATACGAGGACTAGGACTAATCCTGAGAGGATTCAGAAACATTTAGGGTGCGTTCCTTTGGGAGAATCCGGATCAGGATTTCTGATCTGTGGTTTTCCTTTCGAGCAAATCCATTTTCAGAACAGTGATCTATCAAATCCACTCTGGACAAGGATTCATCGGATCACTGATCTGCGTGATCTAAAGACGGATCATCCAACGCGTTCCTTTGGGCGAAGGATGCGAAATTAATCATCTCGCTCAGCGGTGCTCAATTTCAAACAAGTAGGTACTTCATATATTGACCGGAAAGATTGTTGGCAATCGCTCCACAAATTCTGCGATAAACACTAAGTAAAATCGGTTTTGTAATTTTAAATCGATCGGCCACTGATCGCAGGCATTCAGGGTTCCCAAGTATCCATATCGAAATTAATACTTGCTTCTGTTTTAGGGCCTGTTTAAATGGAGGTAGAGGACCCAGGTAGGTGAGGTAACCCGCCTGTCCATATAATTTCTTATTTTATTTTGATCGCGTTTACATGATAGGTGGGGTTACCCGCCTAGGTGGGTTGCCCGGTCTGCCAGGTAGGGTAACCCTGTCAGCCGGGGTGACAATTTGCCATGTAAACGTCTCAAGGTGGGGTATGCCGGGGTCGCGTTCATGGCAAAAAGCTCAAAAGCGAAACATGTATGTTTTAAAACTTTGTACATTTCCTAGCCGTCTCATGGCAGAAATCACCGCAAACCGCAACGGACACACAGGGAGTGTAAAATGTTCACATTTCGGAATATTTTGTATTTAGGAAACTATTCCGTATAACGTATTAAGTCAACGGTTCCTCGCGAAACCAAAACGCCGCGTAACACAACGCATGACGCGTTCATGAATAAATACATATGTGTCCAAGAATTAATCTTTAGTCTTTTTCGAGATGTGAGCTTGGGACGCCTCTGCTCAAACTCCTTAATTCCAAGCGCAACAACAACCTCAAGAAACCTCACCCCAGCACCTCGGGGTTGTAAGATTGCACGTAAACGCGTTTTATTTTTCGACCACGGCTAGGTGGGTTACCTCACCTACCTGGGGTCCCCCACATCCATGTAAACAGGCCCTTAATTCCATCATTTGAGTTTTACATGAAAAAATGTGCTTCTAATGAATAGTGCGCGCTAAAAGCCTGTGCAGTTAGACGAACCATTTAGGGAAGTGCTCAATAACCCACGTGCATACTCCCAAAGGAGCGCACTCTAAAACTCCATTCCTTTAATGTACCGAGATCTATGTGATCTTGGATCACAAATCCAAATCCGGATCCTCCCAAAGGAACGCACCCTAAAATACGCCCTTTAGTGTGTAACGAGTATAATTGAGTAATCAACGCGAACATTACTAGGGGAAGAGCGCACAAGAATTTCTGACTTTTTTGTTAATGCAAAGTTCAGTTATTAAGAATGGCTGCCTGTCAGGATCGAGAATTGTCCGTCAACGACCATTTTGGTGAATTGCTCATATTTTGCTCAAACATACCCTTTGATAAACTATTTTCAAAAATCATGTTTTTAAGTTTCAGCGATTATTAAATTTTCATAAATTTGCGAAAATCTGAAAACGCGGTTTTCAGGCTTCCGGAGCTCAGGCTCCGCATGACGCACAGTCAAAAATTAACTGCAAAAACCAAGCCCCGTTTAAGGATGAAAATGGAATCAATCAACACCAAACTTCACAAGATATTAGGACAGCTATTCTCATTCAATTCTAGTGAGTGATTTTTTTGGGGCACATCGATTTTGGGATTACCTAAGCCCTTGAAAGAACATCCTCACAGACCGCGTAAAATGGCAGCGAAAAACGGGTGATATTTCACGCGAAAAAAATGTACCTGGTACCACATATTTTAGATTTTCAACAACATATTCGTGAAATATTGCTATTTTCCATTCATTGTGGAAAGTGTGATGCTCGGAATCGCATTGCTTCCCTTCGAAAATGGCAGAAGTGTTTGTGACTTGAGCGAGCAAAATGATGCAAAGTGTGTAAACAAACAACAAGGTAATTTAATCATATCGAGTTGTTAAATCTCCAAATTAAATCCGGCCTCTGCTGTGTCGGTTTGTAGCTCGGAAAATGTAAAGTGACAAGTAAATTATCCCGTAAGATATTTGAAAAGGTTCTACAAAATATTTTTTGGCTAAAAATCTGCAAGTGAAGTACATATTACATTAGCACCAACTCACATTCAAGTAATGCAAAAGATACATTCGAGAGAAGCTACTTAGTAGATTAGTACTTGATTCCATGCTGATAAATTAGATTTTTTTTTATCTTTTACTTTGAGAACTCATTTTCTGTAGGTTTAAATACATGGAAAGGCGACTTTTGACCTTCAAAGTAATTAAATGCAAGGCGACAGTTCTTGTTATCCTAGTGATTATCAATGTCACGCAACGTAACGCCATTGGAAACGTGTCGGGGGTGCTGAAACATACCCGCGTAGAAACCGCAAATGAAATAATTATGTCGTTAAATTATAGAAAGAAATCCCGCACCTCAAAATGGGCGGAAAGAAATGTAGGTTGAATACTCTCACGTCTGTCAGTTTGCATGTGTCAGCTACCAGATGAGTAAACTTCATTACCGATGTGAAGACCAGAAAAGGAAAGTGAGGGTCAATATTGGCATGATTAAAAGAAAAACAGAACAAAACGAAAGAACTTCTAATTACTCTACGAGCTTTAAAAATGAGATAACTAGTAACTGACGATTAGGAACGAGTCACCGTTAATTCGTATCTTCCTCACTTTTCTATTCTGCTAAACTAAAGAGAAAGTCAGCATCACGATGACTTTTGGCAAGTACATTTGCTGACAATCTCTTTCAGTAGAGCCAAGTACGGGGCCTTTTTACGCATGGGCTTTGATGGTATATCGAGGCCAAGGTCTTCACACATGTGCTGCAGCATGGGTAGCTTCAAGATCTTCAAAGAGTCATTTAGCGCCATTTCACAAAGATCGTACTGATCGTAGATCAGGGGATGGTCAAGTTGTATTGACGCGACAGTCTCCTTTGCTTCGCTAAAATTACTCTCCTCTTGAGCTGCTCGGATATCAGCCTCATCAGGATCTCTCTGGCGTACCAAGGCACTCTGTCTTGAGAAGAAGGAGGTGATCTGGGTGGTTGTGAGGAATTCCGATGACTGGAATAGTCGTGCACCATCGGTGCCCCGGGCACGCCGCATTTCTCGAGCAACTACCTCTGCGTCAAGCTTGTGGCCTGTCGTCTGCCCTATTCGAAATTTAGATAAAAGGTACGACTTTTGCTTTTCACTGAACCTGTAAGCCTTCCTTACTACTCTAAGAGCCCATCCTTCTTTCAGAGAAACACGAGAATCTTCCTGTCGTACAGGGGCTTGAAGCGATGGCAGCTTTCCCATACCTTCTTCCAAATACGATTTGTAGCCAATTTTTGCCAAGTCCATTAAAGAAATTTTTTCTGGTACCCTGGTACATTTTTCAAGTGACAAGTGCTTTTCTAAGGCTGAAAGCCTTTGAAAAACACGAGTGCAGCCGTCTTGAGGACATGAATACACCCCTGCTGCCTGGCCACGTTCTATGGAAGCTGTCTCTTCAGCCACATTTTCTTCCCCTGACGATTTGTGGGGGGTACTTTTATAGGAACGGAAATCTCCTGCAGAAAATGATGGCTGCAGAATCCCTTGTCCAGGACCTTCAAAAGATATAAGAGAAATATAAATATGACAGCCACACAGCTAAGAAATAATTATCTTGCATCAACGCGTAGCCCTCAAAGGCAGCCCACGACAGAATACCGTGTAAGAGGGGGTTTAAAATACTCACCCCTTTTTCTTGTGTTTTGTTTGTTTGAGCAGCGTTTTGTAAACATTTAATCTCTTATGGAAAGTCTTTTATGATGCATTGCGGATAAATTTTTCCCTTATTAATAGAAACCTTACAGAACAGACTGTCATAAACTAGCAGAAAGGCCTGGGCTCATTCAAGAACCATTAACTCACCAGAAGAGGATTTTTCAATTTTGATCACTTTCCCTTGGCCGACGGAATATGCGCGCCAACAGGAAATAGAGCCCACTGAACTAAACTCAAAGTTGTTCAACTTGGTGATTCCTGTAATGGTTTGCACATCGTCTGGCGTTTCTTCGATGGTATCAAGAGAAACCACTCGTACACCTTCCAAACCGCCATGGGATAGCAGAGCTTCCTTCAGGTCGCTGGCGGTGCAGACATCACGGCCTTCATTAATAAATGCCCTAATGTGGCTTTTACAGCTCGCAGCTAGTCGATCTGCAGCCCCTTTCCCGCCTTGCGGGTCGCTGAAATCAACGCGGACTATCTTCACTCCGGTGTTCGCTGAAATTTCTTGGCACTTCGTTAACGTGCGGGAGGAGTGGTAGCAGCCGGCGTTATCTTGCCTGAAGTAGGCCTTGTTGATTTCAGGATACTCTTGCTTCAATGTGGCTAGAACATGTTGCATAATCGCGGTAACAGCAGAACTTCCTTGGGTACAGGACTGAATCACATGGATAAAGGCTTGCCACTGTAGCACACCCTCTATTCGTCTGTATACCACAGATATGTGCCAAGAAATACCCCGCTTACCAAACCAGTCTGTCTGTGACTCGCGGTATCTCTGAGGCAAGAACTTCATGGCCCAGTCATTTACAATGAATACTGTTCCAGAATTAAGGGCATTGATGACGTCCAAACGAGCCTGGTCTTGATGTGTCGACCTCAGCAAATGGCACTTCCATGACTGGATGGCAAGCGTAGCAGAGCTAACGAGAAACAAAGCTTCGTCTTTGTCTTATTCTGTGGTAAAAGATGCTTCATCGACCGCAGTAGATATGTCGTTCAGGGTCGAATGCAAGCTTTCACATTGGTCACAGAGCTCGTCATGGTTGTGTTTGCATTGCTGCCGCAGGTCAGAATCTTCGGTGTCACTCAGAGTAAATACACTGCAATGACTTGCAACGGGAGAAGAAGAGCTCACGTGAACCTGAGTGAAAATAAGAAACACAGCTTGACACAAAGCATGGATTACCATGTTACTGCAACATTAACGACAAAAAATATTTGCAATTTGTATGCTTCATGTTATCTAAATCGAATAACCTCAATAATCTGAGAAGATAAAATCTATTACAAGCATAATTTATACTGATAAAAAACGAATACCAAGAGCAAAAACCGACGTATATTTCCCAGTCAGGGTGGACCTGTCATCGGAACGGTTTTTTCGTGCCATACTTCCATCCATTTGTGAAATAAGATCACCCTGCTTGAAAAGCATAATCCAATTTTCTTGGAACTCTTCACACTTTCGGTTGCTTACCTTGAAATCACCCTTCAGGTAGAATTTGGCCACCTTTAATGATTTCACGTATCGCACTTGCCACTCCTTTCCACGACCAAGCTCCCCCAATTGAAGAACCAAGCCTTCTAGTTCATCGAACGCACGCGCCCCGTCTGCTGCAAAATAGTCAAGGCCTTGGAGAGACTTTCTGGTCGAGGCCTTGCATTCATTTAGAACACGCAGCATCGTCCGCTCGCTGAACGCCTCAAATCCAGTCTCTTTGCAGTACTGGGTATACTGACGCACTATCCTTTGCGGTATCATGGTGCGAATAACATTGGGTACTTCAACCAGTTGTCCAGAGGAGAGCTTCAGTGTTTTTTGTCCAAATGGCAGATCTTGCACCAAATGGGGGCTTGTTATATAAGATAAGACGTGATCCAGTTGTCTCGGGTCGACTCTTATCTTTGATGAAGGCTGGGGGGTCACTGAAGCGCCGCTTCCGTGCTGAAGACGATGCAGATTAGCTATGGTAAAACGATATCTACTTAAGCCAGGTATGAATCTCGAGATATCATTATAATTGGAAACACCACTCATCATCGAAAGAATTTGCCGTCTTGTGTCCCACCCATGGGCTTTGTCATATGCCTCAGCTAAGACCTGGAGGTAGCATTTGGAAGTTTCGGAGAGTTCGTCCAGCCCGAGTGCTTCGTTCATGGCAGGATAAGAGACGACTGCTTGCCAAAGAGAACCTGCACAACTGGGTGTTAGGTCGTGGAGCACAGAAGAAAAAAAATCTCTGCGGTTCGTCTAGTATACCGAAGCTTAGTGCTGTCACTGGCCTTTTCCCACTCAACCCAAGGTTGAGAGACAGGTTCAATGTTTTTGGACACCAGATACTCGTTCAACTTTTCACGGGAATTTGGCTTTGAGGTGATGCTCTCTTCACTCGTTGAGGAGACAAGGCTTGCAGTATCGGGACTAAGAAACGTCTCGTCATCCTTCAACCCCTGGGATGATATTTCCAGAAACATCAAGTCCGTCTCTAGACCATCAGAAGATGACTCACTGCCAGCACTTGATTCCCCTCCTGGACGGTCTGTTTCCATCTCATGACCCTACGAAAAGGTTTGCTCTATAAGCATCAAATCTCTAAAACCGATTTCTTTGTATATGTTTGTAGGGAATCAGTTTCGGGTAATAAAAAATCTCAGCAGCACCAGGTACTGTTTCGGGACATCCAGAAAACAAACAAATGTGGGACAGGAATTAGCCTACCAAAGTGCGGCATAGCACCGCTCCCCTTCCCCACCCCTCATATAAAAAAAAGTGACCGAAAAGCAGTGAGTTTTACTGGTAAACGAAGGAGCCTTGTCCCAGATTAACAACTGTGTTTGTCACGCTGTGTTTGTGTTTGTCACGTGTTTTTTCTTCCTCGATTTTTTTTCCAATTTCTATGCTCTTCTAAAAATGACTCTTTTCCTTTTAAAAAACAAGATTGAGATCATCAATTCATATTTAAAGCTTACCATTGTCTGTTGTTCAGGTATCTGCACCACTCGAGGCTCTTTAGGGGTAGACACAGTACTTGCTCCAGCGCCCTCCGCCGGCGTCTGTTCATCTGCAACTTGCCTGCAGATAAACTCGTCGCATCGCCTACAAATTGCTTTTATTAAAAAAAAGCAATGTAAATAACTCATATCAATTACTATTTCTAGGTATAAAGTAATCAATCTGTCATCAATCAATGGATTATCAGCTACTCAGACGAGAAAAAAACGTTGGCAATATAAATTGCAGTTTCCTCACAAATATAAAATTTGCTAGCTTGAGAAAGTTGAAACTTATAGTGCTTTTTTGTGTGTAAGGTATTACAAATAAACGTGAGAAAAAGCAATTTCATGAGAACATTTATCAACAGAAGCAATTCAACTTACGCGACCCAACTGGAACTAAGGTGTTAGTGTTGCAAAAAATATACATCGATTTTCGGCTATCCACACGGTTGCTTCCTTTGGCACTTGAGGACTTATGTGTCGCTAGATCCTTGGGAATTGCACAAAGGGTTTTCCTAGTCCTCCAACGTACGCCAAAGTCTGCCCTATGGCGTGGGCAAATAGTCAGGGTAAGATGTTTTTGCTCAAATGAGAAAACACCTGTAAAAAATATAACACCAATTAAATCTGTTGCAGCACTCATTCATAAGCACAATAAAGTTACCTGAAAACACACAAAATCAATATTTACCGGCTCTGGCTAATAGCAGCTTCATTTCAGTTCTAGAACCTTCATCTGCACTCAGTCCAAGAGTCGATAGATGTCCAGTTACATCTTTCGTGCAATCTTCGAGTGTAATGCATTCCACCTGACCAAGATAATCAGGAGATCGCCCGCAAGGGGTCACCTTACCAACTAGCGTTATATAGCTACAGAGAGCCATAAAATGACAAGAAATAATAACTTCTGATGAGAGCACGTATGAAAGCTCAAGACTCGTCCGTGAAATAACTTTCCTTAGATCTGTTTCGAAATTTCAACCATTTGCGCAAGAGCTTCGTGGGCAGTGATGACGTGACAGGCTTTACCACGAGAGAAAATTGTGTTTGAATTACAGCATCTTGGTCAAGATGGTGCGAGATGTTGGAAGCTCAATGAAAATACATCTGATATTGAAGTATAACAGTGTTATCGTGTAGTTATCAGACCTTGAGTAAAGTTTTTGTTTTCAGTCTTTGGTATATTTCATGATGACAGCCCATTTAGGGTCTCATGTGGTGCGGCCAGTGTTTGTTGGGACCGGATGTCGGTTAATTATGATAAATAGGAACAATTCGCGTTAATACACTGAACTGCTTGTAAAGAATGCTGTTCTCCTTCTGTATTCGCTGGAATTCTTGATTTATATATACATATATATCTAAAACAAACTAAAACAAAGCCCTTGCAGATGAAATGTTTAAAAGTCATTCAACAGACTGATCAATTGTCACAATTTTCGCAATCGTAATACTTGTAATGGTGATCGATGAAATGACTGTAAGAACATTTTCGACGGTGATTTTATTTTCTCTCAGCTCTCACACAACTCTGAATGTACGACTTCACTATAACTCAATATTTTGTGGAATACAAGTCAAACATTTCCAGAATTAAAGTTTATTTTAAAACCTTTTTCCACCAGGGAAGGAATGATAAGATTAGCGTTTGTTTACACAACACACATCATTTTGCTCGCTCTAGACACAAACATTTGTGGTATTTTCGAAGGGAAGCGGTCCGATTCAAAGCATCAAAGTTTACTCAGGAAATAAATAGTATCATTATATTACGAATATTAAGTTAAAAAATTGAAAAATGAGGTACCAGGTACACTTTTATCGCGCTAAATTTAACCTATTTTTTGCTGTCATATTAAGCGCACTTTGAGGGTGTTGCTAAGAAGACTTAAAAATTCTCAGTATCAATGTGTACAGAAAAATTAACATAGTGAAAATGGATGGGAAGGCTTTTTCTTATATCATGTGAAGTTTGGTGTCAATTGAATTAATTTTAAGCCTTCAACGGAGCTTGGTTTTTGCAGTGAATTTTGGACAATTTGATAGGCGGAAAACCGCACTTAAACCGCGTTTTCAAATTTTCGCCAATTTGTAAAAATTTAATAATCGTCGGGACTTTTAAACTTGATTTTTGAAAATAGTTTACCAAAGGGTATCGTTGGGCAAAATATGAGCAATTCATCAAAATGGTCGTTGACGGACGATTCTCGATCCTAACAGGCAGCCATTCTTAAACTCTTCTCTTTGCTGCGTTGACGCCTGGTCTTCCAATTCTTCACCTTCGACCACGAGTTCAAATCATATATGCTATCTGATAAAGCTTCGTATGGATCAAGAACTACGTGCGTCCGTGTATTCATCAGTGCTCCTAATGAAAAAAACTCCCTCACATAACTCTTAGCAAGGTATTCTGAAAGGTAATACTGCCAGCAGTCAGCCTGCTTCAGAGATATAACAATACTGTAATTTTGCAGACAAGCAGGAAATCATTATCAAAGATGGTTTCACAATAAATTCAACTCACCTGACAGAAGCCATTCCTAATGAAGATCGCCCCTGAGTTTCGTGTAGAAATTTTCAAGAGGAATGTTTTGTCTCGGTACTATAACAAAGAACAAACACACTTACGAATCTGTATTGAGTATTCGGCGGGATACTTGCGTGAGGATCAAGATTTTATTTGAAGCATGACTAGTTTCTAAAGAGGGACTATTGTCGATAGTAGTGACCGACATTTGGACAAGCATAGTTAAAAAAAGGCATTTGTCACGACTCAAGCTTCACTTCGATTCTCTTGGAATCACTCGAGACCAGAGTCTATCTTTCTTCCGTGTACTCTTTAAAAAGCTTACAGACAACAAGATCTTGTGTTTAATTGATTCATGTTCTTTGGCTCCAGGGCCTTAAGAATCGATGGCAAATAATCGATTGATATCGGTAATCGATGGGCAATTGATCGCACAAGTTTTCGTGATTATCAATTGTCCTCAATGTCGATTGACATTGATTACCAATATCAATCGATCAGCTCTGCTGCCATCGGTTTTTATATAACTAATTCTCCTTAATTAGGACATTTGAAAAACACGGTCTCTGGTGTATGTTACAGTTTATAAGTAACAACAGCGATAAAAATAGGCACTGCGCGATCTTTGATTTTTCCCACTTTTAGACATGATCTTTTCAGCAACGAACTTCGAAGCCCGCAATCAATAAAATGATTTCATTTGTGTTGTTTTTCTCTATCTGGCCCGCCCTATGAGATCGGTGCGATGCTTAGATAAGACCGAAGGAAGGTTCGAAAACCATCCAAAAGACTAGAAAATGAAATAATAGTGGAATGATAAAACCATTATTCGATGATTTAACTTATAATACGACGGACATTTTACTCACTGCTTGCATTTTTCCGAGCCCCGAAGGGGCACAGAAAAATACTCGGTAACTCGCAAAATGTCCGTGCATATTCCAACTAAACCATTGAGTCAGGTGTATTTATTTCTTCTATTTACACTCGACAGGGAAGACTTTCCGCTTGTAGTAACGGAGGGTTACTTATTATTTATATATATACTATATATATATTTACTATAAAATACTGCGTGACTCGCAAAATGTCCGCGCATATTACAACTAAACCATTGAGTTAGGTGTATTTATTTCTTTTACGTACACTCAACAGGGAAGACTTTCCGCTTGAAGTAACGGAGGGCTACTTACTATTTTGGTTGGGTTGTAAAGTGCAAGCGGATCATGCTAGCTCCAGAAAAAAGTTGCTGGCTCCAAAAGTAAGACTAAATACGTCGAGAAGAGTAGGATATTGATGTCTCAGCGATGCGTGTGAATGGAAAAACACCTAGCATATGCATTGACTCTATTGGGTTTTGACATTCGTGCCATTTTGATTCATCAGTTGTGCACCGATTGTCTTAAGATTAGTAAATGGTGTGATTTGGTGGTTGAAAACTCACATATACTAACGAGTTTAATTTACTGGTGAAGAGACTTTAAATCTATGAAAAAATCTCCACTGTTGACACTACCATCAGGTGCAGCAGAGGCTCAAAAACTCATACATCCTTAACAAGTTGTTTTGCTTTTTTTGAACTGGAAGTTCCTGCACTGTAAGTTGCAGCCACAAACACAGGCAATGTGTGCCAC